GCTGTCATACGGCATCCCAAGCTTTGCAATCTGAAAACGTGATGGCATATGATAAGCTGTTTCTGCCTGGGAAAAAATGTCTGTTCCATCGTGACAGTATTGATGCAGCTCAGGTATGGCAGACAATAAAATTGTTTTCCAAGTTGATGAGTTGTTTTGATAAGAATGAAAGGGTCTATACTTTGGATTAAGCACATGCATGCCCTAAGCTATCATCCAAATCGCCAAATGCCTTTTTCTTGTATAATCTGTTCTACACTTTACGATGGATCACTGTATTCTGATTATAATGCTCATTGTGCATGTTGTTATGTTCTCTATTTTGGCTTGCCGTTGAACGCTCCCTTTTGTGTTGGGTAGGTTGTTCCTGCTGGTTAAACTGCTTGCCGATAAGTGATCTCATAGAAGCCAAAGTTGTTCATGAACAACTTTGTTCCATGGTAGAGAGGTAACTCATCTTTCTTGTTTTTGCACCATCTGAATTTCACAAGTTCTTTTTTGTCTGAATACGATGTCGCTGCTCACTACAATAATGTATCTAATGTGCTTTCAGTCACAACGATGTATATTGGGTCCTAACCATCAGTATCTTCCTAAGATAGTTTCAATATTTGCTGAGGTAAAATTCCAAGTGATTGCATTATATAATCTTCTTCAAACAATGCTATTTTTGAATCCAATGAATGAGATTTGTAAAAATAAAATAAAAAATCAGTAATCCTGGCAATTTTTGAGTTTTCCTAGTCTAGAACTAATAAGTAAAAAAAAAACAGAATATAATTTCATTTAGGACTTGGTGGTTACTGTAAAATATGCCCCGCGAGTATCTTCTCTTAGAGTGGTTCTGTTTTTGCAGGTACTATGTGGTAAGGATCTAGTCACGGAGCAAACTGCAAGTCAGATGGTGAATCTACTGAGGCAGCTTCAGCAAACTTTGCCAGCGGCAACATTGGCCTCTACTTGGTCATCTTTGCAGCCACAGCAACAGCTTGCCTTGCAATCCATGCTTTCCTCTTAGTATATTTGTCCGACACTGACAAGCATCTTTCTGGTTTCGAAGGAATGCAATGCCCGTCCAGTCTGTGTATTGAAGCATATCTTGTTACCAATTCATTTCCCCAAGAAGGTTCCCATTGGTTTGTCTTTGCATGATGTCTTACTCGCAGGCCAGCGAAGCTTTTGACTAAGCATGAAAAAGTCGTTACACCGGTGATTTATACGAATCCCCTTTTCATCTTGTCTTGAAAGAATGTGTATATTACAAGTTTTCTATTTATAACGTGGGGGGTTATCGAGTCCGGAAAAGAAGAATAATGTGGTTTTTATGGTTTGTGAGCATTTTTGCATTTTCGTGGGTAAAGTACATGAGGTTTTGAGGGTTGTCATTGTTCTTGTAGCAGTTTTGGTGTCGGAATGTGTTTTTGGTTTCGGTCTGCACAAAATATTTTGCCTCGATTGTGGTCATTATAGGACATATGGACTGAAATCTTTAAATGGTTATTCTTATCATTTTTGGAAACCTATTTATCATCTTAGAATCCAGCGACGACGACAAAAGCAATGCATGTTGTTTCAATTGTGGCGGTTTGGTTGGGAGTTTCTTTTCAAACCGTGCAAGATACGATTCAGTATTTGAATCTATATTTTTAATAAATGTGGCAGTGTGTTTTTAAATAAATTCCTCATCTAAATTTGTTCAACTTTCATCTGTGTGATAGATGGTAAGATATTGAATTCATGTCACTGGGGGTATAATTTCAAATTTTAGTATCAAATAATTTCAAAATTCTAGATATAGTATGATTTTTATAATTTTAGTATCAAGTATCAAAGGATTTATAATTTTATCATTTTAAGTTGTTAAAATATGAATTTATAATTCTTATAGAATCTTAAAATATTTTTTACCCACTAGCTTAGCCTCAATCCAGTGCTAATGGAAGACCGAGTCCAAAGCCAATGGCAGCAAATGGGTTTTAGGATTCATCGTCAAACCATGGCAAGTTCAATGCCAACTCAAGCAGAAGCAAGTTCATTGGCAAAGGCCTTCAGGTAAATGGGTAACAGAGATCAAATACAGTACGAAGAAGATAAGTACGTGGTTAGCTACCTTTAGCTGGCTTCAGCTTACGATGAGGCCGTGCACCTCTGCGCCAGTTACTCGACCAATTTTGCAATTCGAATCCCCACAAATTCTCTCATCTCTCGTTGAAGGTCAGAAACATGCTTAATCATAAGAAGAGTTTAAAGGATGCGACTTCAAGGATCAACTCCAATAAAACCGAGATAAAATCAAGTACAGTAGTTTGTAACAAGGATGGTTTTCCACGTGATCCCATGGAACAAGTCATCAAGGTGTTTGATGTTGCGTACAGGCCAGATTTGAGCAGTTGTCGGGGAACATGAACTAGCGTTGGCAGGTTTGATAATATTCCGGTGAGCCAAGGACTAAAGTTGCCACTAGATGGTGATGTTCCAATTCAGTGCGTGTAGAGCTACTCAAATTTGATCGGTTGAAGGTAGAAAGAAAGACATCAGCATCGGTTTATGGCAATAATGGAGTGAAAGAGCACATGCAGACTAATGCATTAGACCCAAATGATGCTCTCTGGGATTCTACCCATACTTTAGTACACCAAATAAATGTTCTCTAGAGGTATGATAATGGTCAAATTTTCGACCGTAAGAGCATCTCCAACAATAATAACATGCAACTGAATCTAAAATAATACTCCAATTCATAGCATAAAATGGATCTTACAGCACCCATAAATGTGACAGTTTCAGACATGAAAATAGAACCTTACCTCACGTTCTTATTTAACCATCTTTCACAATTAAAACAGAAACATTACGAACAAAATGACATGCAAAACACAATTCATTGATAACATGCAAAGACTAGGCGGAACAATCTCACAATCTTACACCACGCTAAGAAGAAAGAACAATAGGAAGGATATAGGAAAGAGGGAGGGGATATCCTCTATTTGAGACAAATGTTTCGCACAAGTAGAGATCAATATTCTTCACCTTCATCTTCATCTTCATCATCTCTCCTTCAGCACCAACTTCTTCATAATCCTTCTCAAGAGCAGCCAGGTCCTCACGAGCTTCGGAGAATTCACCTTCTTCCATGCCCTCACCCACGTACCAATGCACAAAAGCTCTCTTAGCGTACATGATCAAACTTGTGGTCAATGCGTGCAAACACCTCAGCCACAGCCGTATTATTGCTTATCATGCAAACAGCTCGCTGCACCTTAGCAAGATCTCCTCCAGGAACAACAGTTGGGGCTGATAGTTGATACCGCATTTGAAACCGGTTGGGCACCTGCACACCCCAAACAATTTTCAGACAATAAGTTACACGGGAATCGGTGACCTTCAAAACAACAAGCAACATTTCTAATAGTTTATATCAGGTGTAGCATGAGATGCACTGGATATTTGTCATAGTTCCTAAGTATTTAAGTATTCAAAAAGGAAAACAACTCCTGAACAGTTCAATTCGACTTTCAGCACAAAAGATTTTGTAAGTACTAATCAAGACCATTTTTTCCATCCTTGTACAACAAATGCTCTTACCAGTCAACAAACTGCACAGTCCTCTTTGTTTTAATTGTAGCAACAGCAGCATTAACATCCTTGGGCACAACATCTCCCCGATACATCAGGCAACATGCCATGTATTTCCCATGCCTAGGATCACACTTCGCCATCATACTTGAGGGCTCAACACGGCATTCGTAATCTCAGGAACAGATAGCTGTTCATGGTATGCTTTCTCAGCTGAGATAACAGAGCATATGAAGAGAGCATGAAATGGATACGAGGATATGGAACAAGATTGGTTTGGAACTCTGTAATGTCCACATTAATGGCTCCATCAAACCTCAGAGAAGTCGTCAAGGACGATATGATTTGAGATATCAATCGGTTCAAATTGGTGTAAGTTGGCCTCTCAATATCAAGGGATCTTCGGCATATGTCATAAATGGCTTCATTGTCCAAGAGCACAGCCACATCTGTGTGTTCAAGAAGAGAATGCGTGGACAGAACGCTATTGTAAGGCTCCACAACTGCTGTTGAGACCTGCAAATTTAACAATAAAAAATCAAGTTCATCCATCAACTTCCATGCATGTCACAAGCCTTTGATTTTCATCAATCTATAGTTAATCTTTTCTAATCAACAGATTCCGTCACTTATGTCAACTCCATCGAATAATGTTAATGAAATGGCTGTCTCAACATGCAAATGACTTAATTTATCAACTTTTCCATTAGAACAAGATGGCATAATTGACCATGAAAGTTGGTGCTAAATAGACTCAAAATGTAAATTACCCCCTACAAAATTGTTTCAAAGGCTAAATGTAAAGTAGATATAGCATACTGAAAATGGAGATATTCATCAGTTAGCAGTAATAAAAAGAACTAAGTACCTGTGGTGAAGGATAGATGGTGAACCCAAGCTTTGATTTTTTTCCATAATCAACAGACAAACGCTCCAATAACAAAGATCCCAGACCAGATCCAGTACCACCGCCGACAGCATTAAACACCATAAACCCTTGCAACCCAGTGCAGTTATCAGCTAACTTCCTAACTCGATCAAGGCAAAGATCCACAATCTCCTTCCCAACTGCATAACAAACACAAAGCATAATCAATGTAAATCAGCAACGAAAAAATGATGGTTTTCTTACTCGTATAGTGGCCTCTGGCAAAATTGTTAGCGGCATCTTCTTTTCCAGAAATAAGCTGCTCGGGGTGGAAAAGTTGACGGTAAGCGCCGGTCCTAACTTCATCGATGACAGTGGGTTCCAGATCCACAAACACAGCTCTCGGCACGTGCTTTCCCGAACCCGTTTCACTGAAGAAAGTGTTGAAAGCATCGTGCGCCACACCCACTGAAGTATCACTGCATTCAAACCATAAAAAAAATTCAATGCCATTACAAGATCCAAATTTTTTTGTTAAAAAGGAAATGGGTTTTTTAAATTTTAATCAGAAAAAGAAACCTGGGCATGGTCCCATCAGGGTGGATTTCATGCTCGAGACAGTAAAGCTCCCAGCAGGAATTCCCGACCTGAATCCCGGCTTGGCCAATGTGGACGCTAATAATTTCCCTCATCGTTGATTATTTTTCCTGGTTTGGTCAAAATGAGTAAAGATCTGGAATTTAGGGGATCCGATACAAAGGGATCTGAGCTAAATCTGATAGGATCTAGTAATGGGAGATGAAATGGGAAGAAGAAGCAAAGGATAAGGAGTGAAGTGAACCCAAAGCCGAGGACGTGACAATTATACAAAAAAATATCTGACCTTTGAGTTCCGGAGATTACGAATGGGGGCGCCACACCGACAAATATTGAACCCTTAATCTTATTATAATTAGGGGTTTTTTCATATAAAGAGTAATTCTACTAATAAATGGTAAGTTCTGTTACTGATTTAAATTTAAATAATATTATTGAAATAAGATCTATATATTATCGTATAATTATATTAAAATATTAACAAAAATAAAAAAATATTAAATATGATATTTGAACTTTTATATTTTATAGTTTATAATATTTGAATAGAATTCAATTTTATATTTTATTTATAATTACTATTATTTAAATAATATATATTTAATATTTTAATAGTGATATTAATTTTAAAATATTATATAAAAAGTATTATACGGTTTTATTTAAAAAAATTAAACATTCACAAGAAATTAAATGAATTAATTAATATCAAATATACAATATTTTATTATAATAAATTCACAATCCATTTATACCAAAAAAATTAAGAATGTTATCCAATTAAATGATAAAATCTTTATATTTATAAATATTTAGTTTTTAAAAAGTATTGTATACAATTAATATTAAAAATAATACATATTTTTATTATTATTCCTATATATGGTTTTTCTTTTTGTTCTTTTGTTCCTTTTCTGTTTCTTTCATTTTTTATTTTATAACAATAAATAATTAAAATTAAAGAAAGATCTCTAAATATATATTTATCTAAAACAAATACTAATTTAATAGAAAAATGAGAAAATTGTACAAATCCGTACGAATCCATGGAAAGGAAACAAAATGCAGGTCACACCAGAGGGTGATAGGTTGATTTGTTAGGCTTGACAAAATATCTCCCAATATTAAGGGCATTTAAAATAAATGTTTAATATTAAAATAAGTGTTTAAATTATAGTGTTATTCTCACATATATGCTTAAATGATTTTTTAATTTATTTTAATGTCTAACGTTATAAATGTTATTGTGTCTGAGTTATTAACAGCGTTAATTTTTACTATTAAATAATAAATGTCATAATCTGATAATTTAAAAATTTTATTTAAATTAAAAAATATAAAAATATTATCGAATTAAATAAACCCAATTCTTTTTTAAATTACAACAATAACTTCGAAATCTTAAAATTCTATATTCCAACCCTAACCCTCATCTCCGTACCGGAGATGGTCATCGTTTCCATACCCGAAAGATT